AATAATATTAAATAATATATAAATTTTCCAAAAGAAATATTATAAAACATTCAAATTAAGTTTAATATTTAAAAAATTAAAAAAAAAAACTGTTTAGAGTGAGAACTTATATAAAATATAATAATATATATTATTTAATTGGTAATATTTGCATTTATTTATGGAAAATTCTCTAAACTGCTTATTTACTAATTTTATTTATGTAATTAATAAATGATCTAACACCATTATAGTCAATATCATTACTATAAAATACGATATTTTTTAAAAACGTTCTTGCATTAAGTAAAGTGTAATGTTCTACTGTTTTAATTTTTTCAGGTTTATGAGGTATTTATTTGTTTTGTTTGGGAGTTCTTCACCAAACAAAAATATTGGCTCTATAGCAAAGCAACCCAAATGATCACAAATATTTATTAGAGTTGCTTTTAAATCGGTTACTAGTTTCAAGTAGTACTCTTGGTAATAATTTGAAAATTTATTCTGATCGGCTGAATTTTTTGTATTATTTGGAATTAAGTTAATAAAATTAATAATACTTGTTTCAATTTTGATAATATCAGATTCATTTTCTACACATATTAACTGAGAAAAATTATTCAGTTTTATTAACCATTCATTTGCAAGATATTTTACGTCATTGATATTTTGGTGTTGAATGTACAAAAAATGTTTCCAAGTCAACCTTAATATAATGACTTAAAAGAAGTTAAAGAACACTACATAAAAATCTTTAATTGATTTAAAATTTCCCGTTGACCATTTAAATAAATTAGCCTCTTTATAAATAATTTGTATCTTCATTTTATCATCCCATTTAACTTGTACGTAGTATTCTTTTCCGTAAATTTGCATTGCAGAGTGATTTGTTGCTAATTTTTTCATAAATAAATTAGATTTAGAAAATCATTTGATTTTTTTTTGTGATAATAATTCAGGACTACTTGTCTTATAAATGAATTTATTTATTTTATTTATATTATTTGACATATGAAAATTTAAAATTTGTCTATGTATACTATTTGTGAAATCGAATTTTGTTAAATCTATATTAAATTCATTTGCCTTATCACAATTTATAACATCTAATTGCAACATATGTATGATATAATCAAGAGTTTTCAAAGAATTTTCAAATTTATCATCATTTCCAGTTCGTTTTTATAAGTAGGCAAAAACACGAATATGCTACTAGCATAAATATTTATTAACCATAAGGATCTAATTTCCTCTTTATCTCTTTCATACAATGTACTTATTTTTTTTTTAACAATAATATTGTACTTACATATATTGATTATTATATCTGCCAAATTTACTTCTTTGCTATTCATCATTAGTTTAGTAATTTGCATATTAGTCAAAGCGCTAAACAAGTAAGTACATTTTAAATGTTCTAAATTATTATTTGAGCTTAAATCAAACACGTCCATCGTTATAATAAATCTAATTAAGCAAAAACTTAATAGAAATAAAAATAACTGGATTATAATTGGTCTCTTAAAATTCAGCATAATTTTATTTGGTAGTTAAAAAAATTCGATTTTTTCTTTAATGTTCATTGCACGAACATGTCTATTATTTATGTAGAGTTTTATTTAAAAAACAACATATATATTTTTCAATTTGTAAATATGGAAAGAGGTTTGCTAGTTGTTTAAATTAAACTAGGTAATTCCTTAAAGTAATTTTCTAACAATTTATCAGTTTAAACGTTTGTTAAATAATCATATTTAAATTTAAAAACTAGTCGATAATACATTATTATATTATAGAAAATAATAATTTTGTAAAAATATATCAAATTTTGAGTTATATCAAATATTATTCAAATTGATTGAAAAAAAAATACTATAGTTATTAATAACCCAGTACAGTGGGGACGTGGCATAGTTAGGTCCAGTATAGATGATATTTGACAGTGATTAAAATCTCTATCATAAAAAACACTTCGATGCAAATCTGTACATTTGTAGTTTTTAATTTTAAAAAATTGGTGGATTATTCCAAAAGCTGCATGATTTCCTATTTTTTTATTTATATCTTCATTACGAGTTTTGCGATTTATAAGTGTAATATATGAATATATATATATATATATATATATATTTATAATATATAAAGGGAAAAGGTCTGATTAAAAAAAAAAAAGTATGTTGCATAAAAAAAGAATATCAATAGTAATTATCATAAAGAAATTATAATGATCCATACATTTTTAAAAAAGTTATAGCAGTTTTAAGTAAAAAAAACCCAGCACAGTGGGGTCGCGGCATAGTGGGGATGTTGCATAGTTGGGTCCAGTATAGATTTAATCTGACAGTGATTAAAATCACTATCATAAGAAACGCTTCGATGCAAATCAGTAGATAGTGTTTAATTCTAAGAAATTGGTGGATAATTACAAAAGCTACATTATCTGCTAGTTTCTTATTAATACCCTGATTAAGATAAAGTATGTCGAATGAAAAAGGGATTATTAAAAAATATTATTTCTCATAAAAAAATTGTGTTGATTCGTACACTTTTCAATGAGTTATAGCATTATAAAGTTAAAAATGTAACCAACCCAACCCAACATCAACTCCTATTTCCTTAATTATATCCAGATTAGTAATTATTTTAATTATATATTATATAATTTTTATAATTAATTATTTTCAAATTATTATTGATTTTTAATATGTTAAAAGTAATCATTTTGAACCTACTTCTTTTTGTTCTTTAAAGTGAAAGTTTTAATAAAAAAAAAATGAATTTATTACCATAACTTTTAACTCAACTTGCAAGTTTGAAATAAATATTATTAAATAGAAAAAAAT